AGAAGGAAGGAGGGCGACCAGGAGAGCAAGCGGAAGAGGGAGATAGAGAGAGGGAGAGGAGGCAGAAGGAAAGCGAGAGGGCGACAAGGGGAAAGGCAACAGAAAACTTTAATTATAAATACGGGCAAGCAGGGCGACTTCCATGCCGGCCCTGCCTCACACCCTACACGAGTCCAGCAAACACCACAATACGCCACAACAGCAAAACCCAATGCCTGACTGGCTAGACGTAAATCAAGCCAAGATATTGAGGCCTTGTGCACGTGGCATAGACAAGGATACTGGCGGGGCCGTTGACAGAGCTCGGGGCAACGGCATTGACGTCTGTCCGGAGCACTGCGTAAACAGCATAGACAGGGATGCTGGCAGAGACATCGGTATGGACGTCGGTCAGGGCATCGGCAACAACGTCATTGTCACCATCGCTGTGGTCGGCGCTGCCGTCGCGATCGGCCCGGCCCTGAACCCATTGCGGAAACCCGAAAATCCCTTTGCAAGCAGCACGCAAGGTGTGATCTTCGAGCTGTCGCGCAACAACATGATGAGCCAAGAAACAGACATCATCTTCATGGCATACTTCGTCGGGCTGGAACCCAAACTTCAGCTCAGCATCCGTGATCTTGATCGTGAAGCCCACCATCGACTGTTCCACGGACAGCTGCGAGATCCCACACAATTGGAAATGAGCGCAGGACATGACAATGACCGCACCATCTGGCAATTCCTGCTGCGTCATTGCGCGGGGGTCCCACAAAAGCGTGATTCTTAACGGCTTTACCATGTTCAAAGCTTCACATTCCCAAACAGCGTCACACCCGAGGACGACCATGTGACCAAGGAAGCTGCGGACGGGCGTGTGTTGCACAATGTCGATGACGATGCAGACGACGGCGACGGCGACGAGGGACGAGGAGGATGAGGATGATAATGTTGCTGATGATGATGATGGTCGGCTCTCACAACGATTTTCTTCAAGGCCTCAAGGAGTCGTAGGTCGCCATCGTCAGCAGCATGTTGCTGGCCACCTTTGCCCTTCGGTTTGCCACTGTCACCGGGACACTCGGTCTCAACAAGGAGGGCCTTGAGCTCCTCAGCCAATCCTCCCCCTCGGCAAAAGAGCCGCCAAGGGACCCAGGAAGAGCCGTCCCAAATCATCCTCGCACCATTGGAAGCACTCACAGAAAAGTCGCCAGTAACAGAGCCCCCAAAGGAGCCATCACCAGCCAAAACCTGCACAGGATCACCTTCAGCACCAGGACACTTGTCATCCACAATGCTGTTCAGGTCATCCACAAACGAATTTCCAGCCAAAAGCTCCGAAGCCCCTTCACGTATGAAACATCCGGGTCGCTTCGCAGCAGCCAAAGTTCGAAGACACCGAACCGCTCGAACACGGCGCCGGCCACCCAAAAGCCCAGCGCCACTTCGCACAGCTCTGCAGCGTCTTCCCTGTACACATCGTGCCATAAAAGCACAGGTCTCGTACTCTTCACAGCCAGCAGGCCGTCTCCCCCTTCTTCTTCTCCTTCTCCGCATCTTGCAGCGAAGCCGGCCCTTGCCCAGCGGAAACCTTGCTCAGCAGCTTCATGAAGAAGCCTGGCCATGGACTACATCTACTTCAGACATACTTCATAATTATATGCTATCTGTCTATCTATGTATCTACCTGTTCATCTCATACACAAATGTACGCAAATCCATCCACCCATCCACCCATCCACCCATCCATCCATCCATCCATCCATCCATGCATGCATTGTGAACTTGCATACATGTCCCAGGAACATGTGCTGTCTCTGCTGCGCTGTAGAATTGTCTTTGCATGCAGTTGTAACTGATTGTTTGCTCCCAAAAGGGCAGCCATCAAAAAAATAATACCAAAACAACTCTGCCGAGGCCCCAGCTCAGGATCGACTATACGTGCATGCCGACTGATTCTCACTTGCCAATTGCAAACAGCATCATACACACAACACAAGACAAATACCCTACACCTTTCGCGCCCGTCGGGCTGGAGCTCGGCGAATCTTCGGGTTTTGAAATGTCTTGAACCTCCAGCAGCATTCCTCATCCGACTTTGTGGAGTCCAGGCCTAAGGGGGTCGGCGAGGGAATTAAGGTTTGGAGCTGGCTGTAAGCCCCCGAAATTTGTTTGTTTGTAATATGGGCTTGCTACAAAATCGGTGAATGATTTTTTCCCGAAAGGTTGGGATTCATGGTTTCAGGTTTAGGGTTCAAAGGGGCGAGGGAATCAAGGATTTGGACCGGGTCGTAAGGTTTGGAATTGGCTGTAAGCCGCCAACCCGTGTTGATTTTTATGGATGCGTTAAAAACTCGACGAATGCTTCGTTTGCCGAAAAAGGATTTGAGATGGTTCAGGGTAGCGGGTTTAGGGTTACTCGAAAGCGATGAAGGTGCTCGATGCACAACGCTTGTACAAGATTAAGGTTTTGGCTTGACCGGCCCATACGATTGAGTTTGTTGTGGGGTTCTGGGTTTGCCAACCCACATCTCGTTTTTTACCAACCAACATCTTCTTTTAGGGTGTAGGGTGCGCCAACCAACATCCCATTTCAGGGGTTTCGGGTTGGCCAGCCAATGTACCACTTCACTATGTGTTTCGTTCGATGATATTTACGAACCCAATGTATACGCCGCTCCCTGTCGCCAAGACCAACACCGCGAAAACATGGGATGCGAAAGGCGAACTGCAGTCAGCCAGTGCAGATGAGGATCGATGTCACTGCGGCGACAACGATCACCTCGCCAGACAGCAAGGAACCAATTCCGCTAGAAAAAATGCGCTAACTGCATTCCCCCCGTGTGGACGCCGATCGATGTCACCGAGACGACGCCATCTGAACAACAACCACCCGACAGAAGCTAGCAGAACGACCAAGAAACCAGCCAGAACATCCGATGTGCACCGCGAGCTGCGTTCCCCAGCGCGCACGCCGAGCGACTTCAAAACCAAGCTTGCTACAAACATCAGAGACCAAGCCATGTGAGAGAAAGCGACCCCAAGTAACTCATGCGAAGCAGTTCACACAAGCTGCGAGTTAGATCAACTCGGCGTGCAGCAAAACAACAATTTGTGAAGGCTTGGTGAACAAAGTATTCCCACTGGCCTGGCATGGCCCAACCCGCTTGGTCAATGAGCTGCAACATGTGGCTTTTTGTTCACGCTAGTAGTGTTTCACGTGGACGCGACGGGCAGAAAAACAAAACCTTCAACAAGTGCAAACGTGTTTTCCACCATTACAGGCGGTTGGCTAACCTGGGCCTTGACCCACGCAGGGGGTTCAGCCCTGGGCGCCGAATCAGATGCGCCGAACACATCCATCCGCTTGCGAAGCGGCATGTCAATTGATGCGATGCACTTCACCCCGGCCCGGCGTGCTAGCCGCATCAAAATTTTTGAAGCGAACGAAAATACCGCCACTGGGCGACTTGTTGGCGGAGCCGGCACGGCAAGGGCACGCTGCGCTGGGCTTCGGCGCATGGTCGGCTTTTGCGAGATGGGTTGTGCAAAGGATGCGTTCGGCGCATATCTACGACCGCGCCCACAGGAATGTCCAAGCAGCGTCGGAAACCGACTCACCAAGGATAATGTAACAGGATCGGGTATAGAAGAGCTCGGCAAGTTGGAATCACAGCTGAGAGCAGTCGGCGGCTGGAGCTCTTGGAGCTGCGCTCAACAGCTTGCAGAAGCTTTCACACAGCTGCCGTGCGGGCGACGGGCAGTTGACCCTGAGCGAAATTGTCGAACTTGCCGAGCTCGCGCAGCCTTCCTTGCCGCTTGCGTTTTCTCCTCACGCTTGTCCTACCGGCTCTTATAACGGCTGCATTGTTTTATAAAACGTTGCGGGTCACAAAACATGCCCTTCTTCGCGCGCGCGACTCGTTTACGAAAAGGCAGCGTGGCACGAGACTTGCAAACACCTGGCATCCAGGACTTTCAGAAGAGCGAAGAGCTGGGCTCGGCTGGGCAGAAGTGGAACTGCTTGTTGTTTCTGGAGCCCACCCGAGTCCACACAGCGAGACGCCGCGGCCTGGAGCCCAGGAGCTCCCGACCTGGGGGAATTTCCTGCTTTCGAAAAAAAAACAAAAAACGTCAGGATACAGCTGCGAGGACTGCATCATGGGGTAGATTGGATGTCGATAACTGGTTTTTTCACACGTACGTGTGAAAAAACAAGTTATCAATATGCTCTGTGATTGTTAGGGGTTGCTGGCAAACTGTCTTGAACTCGTTGTCTGAATCGCCAGCTTGATGACCCCAGCATTTTTTTGATCAAGCCTGTAGCTTCATGTAGTGTGCAGTGACAAGGAGCTAAACCAAGCGAGGCTACGTCCACGTGTGGTGAGTACCTGGGTCACTGGAAAATCGGAGTGGAAATAGTAACTGCTTTTGATCCGCACGCTGTTCACAGCCATTCCACAACAAGCTTGCTTTGCTGAGCGTGTGCTCCGTGATGGCATATTGCCTTGCTGAAGCGCATGGCCGCGAGAAGCACGACTCTACTGTGAGCAGACTGACATCCGGAGCCAAAGTGCCAGCTGCAAGCCGAGACACCTGCTGCCGAGGTGGGAGAATCAACGCGCAAGCGCTGCCGCAACAACGCTATCGAGTCGGCACGCTATGGCAAGCCACGTGGCAGTTGCGAGTGCGTGTGTCGAGCCTCGGCGAAACGAGGCGACGGCAGTGCGATTGTGTTCGCAGAGCGAAAGTCGGACTGGCACTCGGATCTGCTTCGACGCGTCCCTGGGGGCAGCGTCACCGGTTTAGATCCGGCTTGTGTTGTTGAGGCCACCGGAAGCGGTGCCGGCATCGAACCACAATGGAGGGAAACTAAGATGCTAAGCTTATCCGCCCAAGTTTGCTCGAGATCGCCAAGTCATCCACACCGGTGCTCAACATGGCAGCAGTCGAAGCAATGAGAATGATGCAGAAGGATATCAAAACTACTGCACAATACGCAACAAGAATGAGCCAGCGGCCTGAGCAGGGGAGCCCACAACCAAGGAGAAGGGAGGCACCTGCATGCCTTCCAGGACGAGCGCCCCAGCCCCCACGACGCTGCCCCGGCCAATGACGGCCTTGTTTAGGATGACGGCCCCCATACCAACGAGGACGTCGTCCTCCACGGTGCAACCGTGCAGCACGCAGGCGTGGCCGACAGAGACATTCTTGCCGATGGTGCAAGGGAGCCCCTCGTCCAGGTGCACCATGGTCAAATCCTGAATGTTGGTCCCATCCCCTACCTGACAGAGGGCAGAGGGCAGAGGAGTAATTAGAATTCTTCTGGGAGTTCTGCGAATTCATCGCCTCCCTGACCACAAGCTGTCGCCGCCCTTACAACCCAAACCCAACACTCTCAACTCTGAGAGAAGAAGAGGAGACGACCACCTGGCCGGTAAACATGGAACCCGTTACGGCAAGACACAGAACACCCGTTTCCCACCTCGATGTGCGAGTCGTCCCCTCGCAGAACACAGTTGAACCACACGCCGACATCCTCAAGGGTTCCAATCCAGAAAAGTTGTTACTGTTGCTGTACTGAAAAGGCTCCAAAAAAAACAAGCAGGCTCTGCATGGGGCGTTTGGTTTCCAAATTTTTGTTGCGGTGCACAGTGAATTCCTTTCCTAAAGATGTCTACTGCTGGAACTGCCGGTGCTCCTTTGTCTACAGGGCATCAGGAGCATGACATTCGAGTGTAGGAGGCTCGGGCTTTAACAGGTTTGGGTCAGGGCATAGGCCTGAAAGTTCCAAAAATCTACATGGGGCGTCTCGGCGGTTCGAGTTCTGGACTCGACTTCCGTTCAGTCGATGACTTCAGCCCATGTTGATTAACACAGGGGCCCGAAAACCAACAAAACGGGTACGCCAGAACTGCATAGCCCCTTGGCTTCATGGTGATTGAACCCTGAAACCCAGAACCCTAAACCCCAAACTCCGCCGTGACCCCAAGTTAGGGCTCAGGTTCGGGGGTTTGCGACGGTCCTTCCCCAGCCGCACATCTCCCACCACCTGCGCTCCAGGCGCGACCCAGGCGCCTTCCGCCAGGCGCGGCAGGGCAGAACCGAGAGCGTACACCGGCATGGCAGAATTGTTCGAGAGGTCAAGGAATTTCGTATGCGTTTAGGGATGCCGCTTCCTGGGGAGTTGGACACACCGGAAATCCTGAAGGCCAACGGCTGCAAGGGTTCGGAGGCTGGGCTCTGCTGATTGGCTTCTGGCTTGGAGGCAGCTTATGGGCTCAGGACAGCAAGACCTGAAGCTGCGGCTGAAGCTCTTGGGCTTTGAAGCTTCTTGAGCTCTGGTTTGGGAATTTGGGTTTAGGCCTGTCTGATGCTTCAGGGTGCCAGGGTGGCAGACCTTGGGAGCCTTGGAGCCTCCGCCTGGAGCTCATGATTTGGGGAGTTGGTACTTAAGTGTGGATGTCCTTGAAGGTCTTGAGGTCACAAACCCACTGCTAGCTGCTATGGATCATGGCTACAGGTAGTACTAGTTTTGCTGCTTCAAGACCCGATAGACATGAACATGGACTTCAAGGTAAAGGTAGAGCTAGAACAACTCTCAGCGAGCGTTTCTCCCCGCATCCAAAACATGCACAAAAAGTTGTTGCCACTGGCGGCAAATTTCATAAACTAGGGCCGGCAGCCCTGAAGCCAACAGAACAAGCAACGAGAGCTCTAAGAGAACCTGAGCCGAGTCCCTTCAGCATTTTTTTTGGGGTCAGGGCTCAGGACTCAGAGAAAGTGACAACAACCAAAACCAAGAGAAAAACCCAGAGGTCATGGCAACTAACGCAAGCTTGCTGAAACCTTCTACTACACCTCAGAAGCCAGACTGCAAAGCTGGTTCCTGAGACCAAATAACATTAAACTCCAAACTTAAACCCGGAAGCCCCAACCAGTGCGAAGACAGGGTCTATATAATAGGGCTCTGGTCAAAACCCAACTCCGCACTTTCCCGAAGCCTTAAACCCCACATTGGCAAAGCGCTCGGGATGTTCACGGGGTGAGGGATTTTGCCGCTTACGTAAAGGCTGTGAGACTGCCTGGGGAGCAGGGACTTAAGATGGGTGAGCCTCAAAACCCTCCATGCGCATGCCATGTTCAGGGTCTATAGGGCCTAAGTGGGAACATCGATGTCAAGCTTGCCGGCCCTGTCACATTAACCCGCAGGCACAGGCCCACAGCTTAAAGTCCATACAGGACTGTCGTAGTGATGCGCGTTTCCAACACTCCGGGACTCCTCCCCACATCGCTGCGGTTGAACATCCCATCGTCTCCACCCCTGTCGTATTATACATCTCTATATATGTATAAACATACATTTACATATAGATATATACACAGTACATGGACATGTGTGTGTGCGTGCATATGTGTGTATGTATGTATGTACGTACGTACGCATGTACGTACGTATGTATGTATGTATGTATTGATGTATGTATGTGTATATATATATATATATATATACAATTTATATATATATATATATACATATACATATACATATACATGTACAAGCTCAGTTGACTTATTCATGTGTTGTACATGTATCATGTTACATCTTGTATGCATACTGTATACACTGTACCTATGCTTATAGATTATAGATGGGGAAAGTAGCGTCTGCAGCTTCGAATTATGTACCTATGTGTAAGTATATATGCATGCATGCATGTATCTATGTACATTGTACATACGTGCATGAGATGTACATATACACGCATTTGCCCGGATGTGTATGTATATATATATATATATATGTACATACATACATACATACATACATACTTGCATAGATACTTACATTTTGCCCTGCATATACTTCATAGTCTTTAGATGGAAAAACAGTGACAAAACTCTTCCCAACAAAATCCCTAAGTCACGGAACGCGACGGATGAGGTCCGCGGGCTCTGTTTGCAGAGGCCGCCGACCCAGGGTGAGACCGTGAAACGTTTCGACGCTGGCCGGAGCCATGCTATTGGGGCGCTATTGAATTAAAAGTGTATCCGCGGTTCGAGGTGTCACAACGGGCTCATGTGTCGGGTTTGGCGAACATTAAACTAGAACAAAGAGATGCTGCAATATGCAAGAGGGGCAACTACCATGCCACAAAGTCATGCTCCGCCATCGGGCCTACGAACACTAAACTCTAAAGCCTCAGATAACTTCCGGAACTCCGAGTGACTAGGATGCATAAGACACCGGCGTGGGCAGCCGACAGCCCTCGAGGCTGAACGCACCCTGGCTTCCCAGAGACTTGAGAAGCCCGTGATTGAAGAATATACCAGGGTTGAGGCATTATAGGGTATACGATTTACGAGCACAGAAGCTACATATACATGTCATAGTGCAGTGCTTGATTTGCCAGTGTACGCGGGTTAGAGTGTAGAGCATCTACGGTGCAGCAAGGGGTTGTACAGTCTCTTGCTTGCAGGATGATCTTCGAATTCCACGTCTTGGCTTTCGTTTCGAGGCGCGGGGACTGAGGTAAATAGGTTTCTGTTAAAGCTACAAATATCCTCGCAGCGCCAATACGGTAACTAACTGTTCTTTTCCTGGCTCCACCCAAATTTGGTACGGTTCAAGTGTCCAAACTGCACGGTGCCGGCGTTAAGGACCCACAGGTTTGGTCCAGCTGTCTTCTAGGTGGGATCTCAGACGCCCCAAACACCTTATTCAGGAATAAGGTTTTGGGGCAGTATCGGAGCACAGGGACAAGAAGGATATACAAGTAGTTAGTACCAACTACTCACACGCCTCTCTCTATCTTAATCCCCGGGACCGAAACCCCCACCTTGACGAATGACGCACTCGGAGCCCGAAAACACGCTGAACCCTGAAACCGAAACCAAATGAAACCCATCCAATGCAGACTGCCCCCGAACCTTCAACCGCAAGCCCCATGAAACCCCATGCTCACCTATTCTGAAACCCGAAACCCCAAAAAGCCCAAAACCCCTCAACTTCAACAAAAAGAAACCCTCCCTGGAGGCGACCTTCGGCCCAAGTACGAGGCCGTCGGAGTGCGCCTTGCCCACCTGCGGTTTGCTTCTTGTGTCATTATACGTCCTGGTCTTACGGAGGTTCCTAGAAGATTTTAAGGGGGATCTTGGGATGCGGGATTTAGGGTCTGGTCTTTTGGGAATTGGGCTGAAGGTCTCGGTTGGGGGATTCAGGGATTGGAATCGAGTTTACTGTAGGGCGTTTTCCCCTTAAGGTTTTGGACTCTTCGTAGTGGGCTCTGGGATCTTTGGTCCTTAGGGCTTGGGTGTCCCAAGATGTAGGACTGCGAGCTTACCAACCTCAAGCCCGAGCCCCACCATCATCATCTCCGCAGTGGGCGTCCGACGGAGGGATCGCTGCGCGCTCACGGGGGACACGGCTCCCACCTGTTTGGGATTTCCGGGTGAGGGCTTTGGGGCATGTTATACTATAACACTGTAGGTGCTGTATGGCGAACTATTCGCCCACGTAGCAGTCCCGAGCGTTCCGCTGAGCTTTTGGAGGAAGCACTTAAGACAGAAGCTACCCTTTCGCATGAAAGTTAGGGTTCAGAGATTCGTGCTTCTATTGCAGAAGCGAGTGTCGAAACCTGAAGGAAGGGCCCAAACACAATGAATCCTGAGCCGACTCCACCATGAACTGTAAAGCCCAAACCCTGAGCCCTACAACTGAGACTCCAGACCCTGTAAAGACGCTTATCAACCCTATACTGAACTTAGAACCCTAGCAAAAGTTAAAATTTTAGCTGCTTCTTAGGGATTATAATAACCAAAGATTAAAAATTATTTCTAAGTACCCCTAAGAACCCTGTAGAACCTTCACAGCCCCAAAACCCAACGCGCCCGCCTCGGTGCCGCTGTAAATGCGTTTTAAGGTCCGGCCGGCTGCATTGTCCAGGCCAAAGACCTGCGGCCGACAAGGTTCCACGTCAAGAACTGAGGAATAATTCGGCTCTTAGGGTTTAGGGCTTTAGGGGTTTGAAGCAGGAACTGGGTTAGTGAGTGTCCAACCACACAACGAGCACACTTTTTGATCTGAGCCCAAGACGTCTGTCATACAGGGTGCATTCAGAACTGAACATGAAAAACTACGCTCGCATGAAGACAAGTCAACACGGCCCTTCAAGACAGGGAAATTTCACACCCGTCTTATCTGTAGTGTGACGTCCGAATCATGCTCGAATTTTTGATCTCTTTGGACCAAACCTACTTCACCGGATTATACCGGGAGCTTGCACAGTCAGCCGAACCGAGTACAACAACTCAAGGCTCTACGCTGAGTTCTTCAATCGTGAAGCGGAGTGCTCTCGGTACTCTCGATATTATCTGCGGCTTGCGCGGGCACATCGAGTACCTGTACGAGATTGCGATCAATGCTGTGATTGATCAAAAGCGGTTTCATACTCTTAGTGAGACAATCCGCAAGTTGTAAGTGCGTCGGTATCCATCTCAACTCGTCGCCACAGGGATGGTACAGGATGTGCGTCAGCTCGTCCTCCTCCCAGAGTCCTTGGCGAAGTCCAGACATCTCAATGGCAAGGCGTTTATCCTCGCAGGACTTTGGAATCGACGCTGTCAAGTGATCCGAAAGGGACCTGCAGTCCGTATACTGCAGGTGGAACATCGATCTTTTGGCGACTTCTTCCCAGTTCTGTGACCGGGGCAGTTTGCCGAGTACTTCGCTCGAATACGATCTCCATGCTCTATGGCATGTTGCAACGAGTAAGCCTCACACTGCAGTGTGGCTCGACAAACCCGTTTCATGGTGGACGAGGAAAACGAAATGAGGTGCATCTCATGCGTTGGCGCGTTCTTGTCCACCGCCGACTGTGCGGAAGTGAGATAGTGGAAACGGCCTCTCTGCGACTTATGGTTCGCCTCTCCTGCAAAGGAGGCGTCGCAAAACGTGACGATCGCCAGGTCCCCTGTGCTCCAGGGTAACTTAGCGCTGTACGTGATCGGCCTATCCGCATCTCCTAACGCCAGTGCTACTACGCGGTTTGCTTCACGGAGCGTATCCACCGTGGCTGTCGTAACACGCTGCTGCAGGGCATTCACCCTATAGGCAAGATCAGGTCTCGTGGCGCGAGCCACCCAAGCTAGCGATCCTATGACGGATCTCAGCGCTGTGCGCTGGCCATTCGAGACTGGAGTCGTGCCCTTTTCAGATTTATGTATATCGATCGGGCGAATTGCACGCGTGTTGTCCCTACAGTTTATACTGATGGTCCCATCGGCGCTTTGCACATACTCGCGTCCGCAGAAACGGAACTTCTCAGTCTCTATGCGACCGATCTTAAACTTATCCAGCAGATTCTGGATAGCCGGCTCGCCTTCGGCGGTAGCAGCCCACAGGAAATCATCCACGTGGGTGCACAAGCAAGCACACAAACGACCACCTTCTCCTGTAATATAGTACAGGGCTGACAGAATTTGCGAGGCATTTAAGCCAAATTCTCTACAACTCTCCTTTATACGGAGATAAAGGTTCCGGCCCGCGTCGGTGGTGCCGTACACGGGTACTCGGGCAATCATATACCCGGCTCTCTGAATTTCTGCATCGGGCACACCCTTAGGGTGTTTGGGAACCCGAAGGATGAGGAGGCGCTCAAGGGGTTTCCCTTGGAAGTATGCGTTCGTTATATCGGCTGCTTTGAGCCGCAGGGCCAACGAAACCGCCCATGAACACAGAAGGGCTATACCTTCCGGCTCGGCCGTGGGGCTATCGCAGGAGCCGACAGAAGACGGCGCATACGTCGCGCTTTGGGTCTTTCCCTTGGCGTTCGACGCGGCCACGATGCCCCATCAGATCGAGGACACAGATGCCTTGAGTGCCGTGTATATCCCGGGCACAGACCCGCGGGCGTCGACGATTGCTGCCTTCGCCGGCCCGGGCACAGCCCCGGAGGGTGACGTTTCACTCATGGAGACGGACGGAGATGAGCGCGATGCAGCATACATGGCCGTCTGCAGTGGGGAGTGGGTAGGACAAGCCAGTCAGGTTTCGTTTCCAAGTCCCGATCCTTTGGAAGACCTTCCCCACGGTAGCAGCGTAGCCTCTGGACCCTCAACTGCTAGCTTAAAGAAGCTTAGCAAGTCCCAGTCGAAGCACCTCATTTCAAGCATTACCGAAATGGTAGCTGGGGATGCAGTGCTTAAGGCAATTGTGTATAACGCTGCCATGCACCAAGCCGACCACTTGATAAGACTCACCGAGCCCTCGGCACAGGTCCTCGCGAGCGTGATCAGCGAGAGGCAGAACGGGCCACCGGGCCTCGTGGTTGCCAGGTTTGAGACTTCCACCGAGGAGTTGTGTTTGGAGCTTGAGTGTGTAGCCGATACTCTCAACATTCCGATCATATTGGTTACACCGAATGGCTATCCAATGCTTGAGGACACTGTTACCTTGAGGGGAGATATGCATATTTCAGGTATAGGTCCGGAGATTGAGAAAGCCTTGGATACATTCCAAGCGTGGACAGAGTCTTACAGGTATATTCCCCGTAGCTACGTTGATACGGATAGTACTGACTTTTGGGACCTTTGTCGTACCATTTCAGAGGAGTACTACATCAACGCATTTAGCCGAACTTGCTTTGTCGGTGACGCCCAGGACACAGATCCTGAGGACATCAGCGAAGCAGAGCTGGTGCCCGACGCTGAGATGCCTCAGCGAGGTGTCCATGATGAAGTGGACAATGCCGGTGGCGCACTGACGCCCGAGGAAAGAGAACGCCTCATTCTGGAACAATTCCCGTTTCCAGGAACTCCGAACACAGAGGCAGAGCGCCGAGCGGCGTGGAGATCGTTACCGCAACGAGTCCGGGTAGCTATAAGGCGCCTGCACCGATCCTTTGGCCATCTGCCAAACGCAGTCCTGACACAGGTTCTGAAGCAGGCCCGGGCGAGCAAAGATTTCATCGCCGCCGCCGGACTTTACAAGTGTAAAGTCTGCCTGGACACAGCTCCAGTGCCCAGGCATCACCCTGTCGCAGGGGATAGCGTGTTTCCAAAGGAATTCAATCATACGATAGGAATGGATGCGCTAGAGGTCAAGGACTTCTTCGGAAATCGCTATACTGCTGTCAATATAGTTGACATGGGAACCAGTTTCCAGCAAGTTGTGCTCGTGAAATCTGGAGGTGGCAACCCAAGTGCCCGCCAGTGTGTGAAATGCCTGATCGACAGGTGGATCAGCTGGGCTGGACATCCCAAAGTCATAACCACTGACAGAGGGACGCATTTCAGGGGAGAATTTTCAGAGTATTTGGCACAGCATGGTATAATCCATAAGAACGCCCCCTCGAGAGTCCGCAGACTATTGGAAAGGTCGAACGTCATGGTGGACTTGCCAAGGCCATCATTAGGAAAGTCGCGCAGGAGACTCAGCCCTCGAATATCGAGGAGATGGAGGCGGTCGTTACCGAGAGTGTTACTACTAAGAACGAGCTTAGTAGGCACCAAGGGTTTAGCCCAGCACAACATGTGTTGGGAAAGCAGCCTCGAACACCGGGTTCCGCGCTAGATGAATCCGAAAGCCTTGGTACATTGTTCACCAAGTATGATGAGACGAGCGTATACTACGTTCGGCACAGAGCACGGCAGGAGGCCAAAAAGGCCTTTGTTCATTTAGAGACTTCCCGCAAGGTGGCCAAAGCGTTACAGCGTAATGCAGCCCCTCTAGACACTGATTATAAGGTTGGTGATTTAGTTATCTACCGTCGGGACGACGTCCCTGGCAGCCCAGGTGTCGTATGGTCCACGGTTAGCCGCGTCATAGGGCGTGAGGCAGAGAATGCGTACTGGGTATTACACGAGAATATCCCTGTACTAGTGAACGCTAGGAAGATGCGCCCAGCTGATGAAATCGAAGTTGCAGCGCACCGCGTTTTGGCAGGTGAACCAGTGCTTCCGGAAGCCATCGTACATGGCCCGGAACAAAGGTTCCAGGATGAGCGCGTAGCGGACCCGGTCACAGCACCAGCGACGCCACGTCCAGTGGCCGTAGCTGCCCCGCTTACACCGGCAGTCGCGCATGATGTGCCTATGCCAGCACCATCGACGCCAGCGATGATGCCCGGCACACCGATGCCAGCGCCATCTACCCCTGCGAGGTTTCGCGCCAAAGATAAGACGGGCGAAACCGCTCGGTCGCGATCGCCAGTAGGAGGCCGTGATGACGCACTAGTTGCGGAAGAGCTTGATCAAGTAGAGATCATGGCAAAAGGCCTGATAGATGCTCAGGGTTTCTCTCCAGATGAGTGTCTGGCCCTCCTTCGCGCTTATGACCGCGACCGACGCGAGGCGTACACGCGCCCGCTCCTAGATGATGGAGATCCCGGGAGCATAGCCCTCGCGGTAGGAGTATATCGGCACGGTGGTCTTGTTGGTGTCTCTGGACCGACGCGCGAGAGACCGTCGTTCGCCATGTACCTCAACCACTATCTCTTGCATCAAAGTATGCAAGCCGGACACCATCTTCCACAGTGGAGTAGCGTTCAGCTTACCAACAGAGGCGCAGAGGCCCATAGAGACCTAGCGAACACTCCTGGCTCGTATAACTACACTATAGGTGTGGGCGAGTATCGTGGAGGCGGTCTATGGGTGGAAGAAGCCACGGGTACAACTCCCGTGCGTGTTCAAAACGCGACAATGTATGGCACCGTCCATGATACTAAGAACAAGGTTCTTAAGTTCCGCCCGAAGGACGTGCACATGGTCGCACCGTTTGTAGGAGAAAGATACAGTCTCTCCGCATACACGGTGAGTGATCTCGGCAAGTTGTCTAAAGATGACATACAGCTTTTGTCGGATCTAGGCTACCCCATATATAGGGATACGCCTCAACACCTTTGGCAGGAAAAGCGATGGGATATATACCATGGGTCACTCTGATCTTCCCATCGA